GCATGTCTGCATCGGGAATCCCCACGGAATTTCCTGGAGACATTACCATCCGATAAACGAATACCGGGGATAGTGAGTACGCAATGGGCTCCGGTAAACGTGACGCTTTGGGAACAGCATGCGAGCAATTCCTACCAAAAGCTGGTGCTTTCCGCCTTCTATTGGTGACTCAAGACACGCGCGACCGGTAGTTATAGCAAGATATGTAGATCGTCATCAAGGCGCGTGCTCGCGCGTGTTCCTGTTGTGTTACCCTAAGGCAGGAAAGCGATCAAAAAACATGAGCCAAGGTGGGAGCGCGGTGGACGTGAGAATGAAGCGTCTAAATTAAAAACATCACAAATAATGAAAAGTGTACATTACAAGGCAGCCATATTGAAGTCTTTAGAATGAAACGTAGAAAATTCGTTGACTTGACGGTAGTAAAAGAGGCAGAAACAGAGGGGAGGCCAGTAATCATTCGGCTGAGTTCCAGAATTCTAGGAAACGTAAAACAATCGCCTGGTGGCTATCCGCTAACGACCAAGTGTCAATCGATTCCAACCAGTCGACGTGTGTGAGAGTTCTAAACTCCGCTAGGAGTGCTTCCAGGTAGTTCGGGGCAAATCGGAGATAAGGTAACCCGCCTAGCTTCATAATATGTGGATATCAACAGCTCAGCCTGGACATAATAGACCGGCGAATAAAGCTGAGTGCAAGCTTGGATATGCAAACCGGATCCACAGACAGACTAGCAAGCAGCAGGCCAAATCGCTCACAATCTCGGAGTGTATTCATGAGATGTGCATGTGTATACCGGGCAATAAGCGACTGGTTTCAAAGGCTTTTACCAAACAACCCGAGTTTCCACGTGGCGCATCACCGTATGTGGCAGTTTTCCCAGAATCCGGTCACAAATAAAGAGCCTAGTTTTTCGTCTCAAACGACGTTGAGAGTTGTGCGCATCCGCAATGGAAACCAACGGATAAGGGTACAATTTTCATCCCCGATGTCAGCACTCACTTAGGCATTCTCCAAAATCGGAAAATACAGTGAAGCAACATCAGGACAGCTGCGACGATGACGTAACCCATCAGGCTGGTAACCAGGCCATCCATGTGTGTAGCGGAAATCTGTACAAAGAAGTTGGAATAAAACAATGGATGTTAAAATACCAATGACGAGAGAGGGTGTGTGCATGGTAACATCAAGAACAAAAGACGAATTGGGCTGCAATATGACAAAGTTGCATAACGGGTGAGGCAGTGAGCGTCAAGAAGTACGAGAGAACAAGAGAGCACACGGTCGTATGTAGAAGCGTACGAATCGGAGAACAGTGAGCTGGAAACCGGAAAAGAAACAACTTACCAGACTCTGGCAACTGAGACCCAGAGCAGCGAAGTGACCCAAATGATAGGGAAAGAATGCTAAAGAGAAAAAAGGTTGGAAAGTAGCATTAAAATGCAATAGGTACCAAGACAAGAAACAGTGAGATGCAAGTGAGCACACTGAATTCTTCTAGGAGTAGGAGAAAAGTCTATAAAAGTCCAGTAGACGTATGAGAGGCGGAACAATTTCCAGAGTCACGAGCTCGAGAGCCTTAAATGAGCAACAGCATAAAATAATTCCGAATTTGAACCGTACAATACTAACGGATACTCAAAACGGTCATCAGCATGAATAGCGATATGTTAAGTTGTTGGTGAATGAATATGACGCAGGACCGGTGAAGGATAAGCTAATAAAACATCAGCTAGGCAAACTGGCCAAAGTCCAGAGAGTCGTGACAGAAGTTAACCGGCCAAGCACAAGCAAATTTAGGCATGCTCACGGGAAAATGTGAACGGGAATTGCCCTGTGAACGTGAAGTAGGAGTACACACACGCCCGAATGAACATCGACTGAAGACATGCATGTGCAGTGGTGACTAAAAACCGACCGGAGTCGGCACCAGCCGAGTAAACAGAACGCGAGTCAAGTGACGTTTCCCACAGCTGACCAGGATTGCACGGGCCAGATGAATGATAGAGATATGATCCCATTCAGCAAGAACGAAATTCAACACGGTCCCTGGTAAAGCAGACGTGGATTGGATATATATATATATATATATATATATATATATATATATATATATATATATATATATATATATATATATATATACATTTGCAGTAGTCTATAAATAGACATTGAACCATCGAAAAACCATGGGAAACAAAATATAAGAAAGTACAAATGTCAGGAACAGGTAAGAGATATCTTTGAGCTTTTTGGTTTTCTTGTTTTCACACGCCATTGTGTTTTTTGCATTTTGAATAGTATAACTCTAAGCATATTGTTCAAAACATTTCAATATACAGCCCTTCCATTGATTCCGGTTTTGCGCCATATCTCCAAGTCTGTCGAGCCATTTGCAGTTCTTATCCTTGGAGCCCCAACCAGGAAGACGTACTGGGCCGACGATTGCGAGACAGGTTAGCGATTTCATGATTTGCCGTCAATTGGTTGACTGACCTCCAAGCGTTCTCTTCCAATTCAATCCCGTGCGAGCAAATAAGGCGCGGCGTGGTAAGCGCTCGCATGACATACGTAGAACGTGGCCAAGCCACCTCAATTGACGCATTGCGATAAGGCGATTAAGTGGAGGGCTCATGTTTTCCAAGACGTGACAACGGACTACATCGTTGCGAACATGGTGCGGCCACCAGACACTGGCTATTCGCTGCAAACATGTGTGTGTAGGCCGAAAGCCTACGCATGTCACCCACACGAATCGGTCGGGACTCACTTCTGTACAACATGACCGCGCGGAAAATGTGAGGAGAGGGATATGTCCTGACGACGCCACAAATGACTCCGGTACCTAAATGCCGACCGGGCTCTGGCGATACGATGAGATATCTCTTTGACAATAGTGCCATCAGCAGTAATACAGTTTCGGAGGTAGACAAAGTTGTCCACAAGCTCTAGCTGTGTTCCTTCAATCGTAAGTGAGGGGGCAGACGACTTTCAGTCCTGGAGCAGTGTTGTGGTTTCCCCTGACTGTACAGATAACCTTCTGCTACCACGCAAACTGACCGGCCGACTTTCCAGGGCCACAGGCGGAAACTGTATTGAGCACTCCGCAAGCAGTGTAAGCAAATCCAATAAGAAAATCGAATCAAGTGAATAGAGGAATGGCGTAGTGTTCACTGACGGGCTTCAAGGTGGACCATGCTCATTGGCAGCGTTCAAAGTGAAGCGTCATCATTAGCCCGCTCCCCTTGGTTGACCAATCTGCTTCGGCCTGGGTCATGGTCAACTGTTCCGGCTGCTAGGAAAGGGGTGCTTGACCCGTTAACAAGTAGCACTTCACACTTCAAGAATCAAAAGCGCATACCATACTTAGGCGCTTCAATCGCCAGACGATTCAAAAAGAGCTTTACACTCTGTGAACCATCACCGAGCAGAGCGATGTCATCAGCATAATCCAAGTCGGTCACGTGATTGCTAGGAAGAAGCTTAACACCAAGGTTTTGGGAGCCTTCCAGGACGTCCTCAATAGCAAAGCTGAATAGGAATGGAGACAAAGCGTACCCTTGACGCACACCACTAGGGATAACGAAGGGAGAGGAAAGCTTGCCATAGACTCTCACTTTACTTGGAAGTAAAGCGCCCGAATGATACAAGTGTGCTTTTCGGATACTCCATATCTTAGTAAACAGTGCCATAAAGCAGACCGATCGACCGAGTCGAATGCAGGTCGAATGTCCAGGAAAACGACAATGGTCGGCTGGTGGTAGAGATGGTGGTGTTCAAGGATTTGGCGTAGCGTGAAGATCTGGTCCACGCCCCCTCGACCGGAGCGAAAGCCAAGTTGTTCTTCGCGGTAAAACAACTTGCGGATCGGGGATAAGTTGCGGGGCAGAATGGATGCTAGCAGTTTAGGAGTAACCGGCATGAGACAGATTCCCCTGTGATCAGCGCAGAATGTGCAAGCACCTTTCTTGAAAATAGGGACAATTATTGACTCACCCCAGGAGGATGGAATCTTGTCTTCGTTCCATATCTGAGAAAACAGAGATGTGAATTGTTTGACAAGTGTTGGGCAGCGAAACTTGAACATCTCCGGAGGAAGTTTGTCCGAGTCAGGGGATTTGAATCTCCTGTGTTGAATTTCGACGAAAACTTCCGCTTCGTTAGGTGGCTCCAATGAAATGGTCCAGGGCATACAATTGGGTGTACGTGGCATACAAGCGGACAATGGATGAGGGTTGAATTGGGAGTGAAGATGTTCGGCCCAACGTTCTACGCGTCTCCGCAGGCTAGTGATTCGTGACCCATCCGCTTCACAGATAGTCTCGCTGACAACAGGCCTTCTGGGGCCGGTGAACCGAATGAGCTGGAAGAGCTTGCGGAAATTGCCGAAGAGAGCAGCGGTCTCCATCTCTGAGGCGCGCTGAGACCACGAAGTCTCACGGTCATTACGCAAGCTTTGTTTGAGTTGCCGATTGAGAGTCTGGCGCACAGAATAATGAGCTGACTCTGATGGCACATTTCGACGGCACTTGGCAACCTTGTAGCAGTGTTATACACTTGAATGGGGCGAAATACAAACCATATTTAGATGTCACCATCTTTGAGCGGTTCAAAACATTTCACAGAGACTGTGGATCGCGCCCCAGTAAAGCGATGTCATCAGTATAATCCAAGTAAGCAACTCTATTCCCCGGGATGAGCTCAACGCCACAGCTCTCGGCTCCTACGAGAGCGCGATGGAGAACATCTTCGATAGCAAAGTTGGATAAGTACGGTGAGATAGGGTAACTTTGGCGTACTCCGTTGGCAGCAGTAAACACAACGATGCGACTGCTCTCACCATCCTCAGGTTCAAGGTGTACATTCGGCTGGCTTTTATAAGGAGACGCAGCAGCTGCTGCCAATGACTGCGCCGGTGTAGGAGTTGCGTTAAGCGCGCTTGCTGAGGCAGTGCTCATTGAATGGTCTCCTGTAAACAGCTTTCTCTATGCAGTCCGCTTGGAAAGCCACGGCACCAGTAGGCGGTGCTTATTCGGTGTAGCGGTGTACGGTCCCACGGACTGTAGCTAAAGATGAGTTCAACCACCAACTCAGCGATATCCTCCGTAAGAAATGCTGGGCGGACCGGTGGTCGAGTGGTCTGTATGTTTGTTTTGCAACCATATGGTCACCGGTTCGAATCCGCGTAGGGGTGGGCGTTCTCGCGGTATACTCAGCCCGCGCACGACTGGTGGTGATCGCGGGGCAGCGAAGCGCTGTTACGACGTACAGCTGACATATTATTTATTTTTATTATTATGCCCACTGGGGACCTAAATGCGCAAGTCGGTAAAAGTTCATGAACACGAACATAGGGGTTAGCAAAAACACGGTACTCGCAAGAAAGACAACGGCGATTGTCTCATCCAATTGTGCACCGACCGCAGTTTGTTCCTTACGAGCACTAATTTCCGGCGTTCCTGGCGCCAACGAGCCACCTGGCGACCGCCGGGATCTGGTCAAGCGAGAACGCAGATTGACCACATCGCTATGATATACCGTTGACAAGGCTGCATAATGAACTGCAAGTCATTTTGGGACAATTACCTGACTTCCGATCATGCCTTCGTGTGCTAAGGTCGTTCGGCCCATGGGAGACACCGAAGAATGTCGCCTGATTCGGCTTGACACAGACAAGCTGGCCGCCCCAAATGTTCTCGATGAATTTCAGAACACATTAGGATCTAACCAATATCATCCATCCTCTGACTTTGGGCGAAGATTACCAGCACCTTACGAAAGTCCGCTACTCTGGTCTGTGGTATCAATAGACGGGCTGCTAACGACTGGATCTCCGCACAGTATCACCAATTATGGAAAACCTGTTGCGCAGAATCAGAGGTGCTGAATTCAGATAGCTTCTTATGAAACATCGCGGGGGCCTGGTGAACACAAAGCGTCGTTGAGATGGGGCGAGCATCCTACTCAGGAAACTCCCGCAAACTCTTCCAACTGATTCGGTCCACAGGAGACAGAATGCCAACAGTGAGTGAGATATTGCATGAAAATGACGGCGAACTAATTCACAGTAGTCACCGTCATCTGGTACGACGGTCGGAGCCCTTTGAAGATCAATTCAACTGGTTACCGGCACAACCGAACCCATCTCCCGGGATTCACAGTGCTCCCTGGCGCGTGGATGTTTCTTTACCAACTGAGGCTGAGGTTTCCTATGAGCTTTGCTTGCTAAAGCTGGCTAAGATGAACTTCATAAGGCCTCTTCCAAAATGTGGGTCCAGCACTCCCACTTGCATTCCATTTGGACCAATGAAACCATCCCATCTGACTGGAGATTAGAGGATATCATAGCCGTTAACAAAAAAGAAAACTGAACCGTTCGCTCTAATCATCGTGAGATCAGCCTCAT